CGATTGTTAATATCATCAGGACCAGCGGCCTTTCCCAAAAGAAGTGATTTCATTACTAAGTGCACCTCATCTGGTGATATGGTGAGATCATCCAGATGATAAGGAATGTTGGGCAAGTCAGTCAGAATTGGAGCCTGACTTTCGTCAATGCGTGTTTGCGCAACAAAAAAGTCATTCAAGAAATTAGCTTTTTCCAAATTTTCAGAGATGACGGTGTTATTATTAGTGGTTAAGGGGGGTATTGAGTTAGAATAAGACGGTTTAATAAAGGATTTAAGACAAGACCACCAACTCCTTGAGTTCCTGTTTTCGTGTTGTAATTTTTGGGCTAGATTGTCGATATGTTGTTTTTTTTGCTTCTCGAATTTTTGATATAATTTGGTTTTCTTAAGGTTCGAAAACGTGCCCAATGATACGGTGAATTAGTTTGTCTGGCTTTTCGATACAGTCGTTTTCGTTTTCTTATTAGCACTCTTAAGTTATTTTTAAACCAAGGCGGTTCGTTTTCGCGGATTAAGACTTTTCTAGTCGGGATACATTGTTTTAAGAGAGATATTATATTGCTAGTAATGTTATGTGCGTATACGTTTATATCATCGTTTTTAAGGGAATCCCAATCATATTCGGAGACCAGTTGTCTAAGTAGATCGTAATTTCCTTTATCAAAGATCCAAACATTACGATAGAAGCAAAGTCGCTTTGGTTTTTTCAAGTTAAGTAAACAGTATATGGGACAGTGATACCTGACATCGTGCTGAAGAAAAGGGTCGCCAACGCCGCTCATATGGATGAGATTTTTATTAGAAGTAAAAATAAGGTCAATTACTAATGAAGATGACTCAGTAAAGTGAGTAGGTGAGTCAATAATCTGATGCAAAGACAATTGACAACATATTTCTTTAATTTTCTTACAGGAGGTAGTGTGTGCAGCATTTAGATTAAAGACACCCATAACTAAGATGTTTTCAATTCCAGTATCGATAGCTAAATGCATAGAGTCTAGTATCAAGGCATGACGGGCGTTGTCTATGTTGGGGGGGGGGGGGGGGGGGGGGTCTATAATAAACTCCAAAAAGTATATGCTTATTTGAAAAAAGAATTTCGATCCAAATGCATTCGGTACTGTTTATTTCTAAATCATGACGTCTTGTGTAGTGGATATAATCCTTAACATAAACTATTACACCGCCATGGTTATCGGCACGATCTTTCCTTTCGGGATTAGCAAATGAATGAAGAAGCAGGTCTGACGATGGAATATGTTGGCCGAACCATGTTTCTGAAAATGAGAGGATATCAAAATCCTTGAGTTCCGAGTAGATGGTGTCAAGTTTTTGAACAATGCTTTGGACGTTGTAATGGACAAACGAAAGGTTCCGGGAAAGATCAATATATTCATTGTCTGAGGAGACAGAAGATACTGATGAAGTACTAAGAACATCAGAATCAGGTCCTGGGTTTTTATGAACATCAACCGACAGAAGAATTATAGTACAAATGTTCCAGGTTTGAACGGACAAGAAAAGCAAAATGATTGAACAGAGAATATTGAACGAAAAGACAAAGTTGAAATATTGTTTCATACTAGGTGGATGTTTGCGACGAGAGAGGGGCAAAGATATACTTTTTAATATTAAGTCATGATCTCTTATGCTTAGAGGAATATAGCTGAGGTAAGTGAATGTGAATAAAAACTGTTGTAAGAGGAGAAATCTAAACATAAAGCGAATGCGAAACACTCTCTCCGTTGTTGGCGCTGGTCGCTTTATTTTGTTCATGTAATTTCTAATAACATAAATAGAAATTTAACAGACACCAACAAGAGAGAAAGAAGTACAGGTATATGCAAAAACAAAATCCAGCATCTTATAAGATCCTCGTTTAATGTTGTGTTCATCCTAGAGAGAAAATTAAGGGAAAAAGAGAACAATGCTAAAAATGGAAACATATGGTATTGAGATGTTGATTGGAAGTACCAATAAGTGCTAGGTAAAATTGCTTAAAAATACTATGACTATGTATGCAGAATATGTTAGCTGTATTTCAATTAGGGTCTAAATTATATGCTATATGAGAAGTGAAGTATAACAATTTATAGCATCCCTTATGAAAAACCAATACACTATTTACATGCACATACACAATTTATAACAACAATATTGTAAATTGCACAATGAAAAATGCACAGAACACCCCACGATGGTTGAGATATAAACATAAATACATATAAATACATACATACACACATACATACACATACATACATGTACACACGCACGCACGCACGCACACACACACACACGCATACACACACACATACATATACACATATATATATATCTATTTATTTGCAAACGATACATGTACATTGCGCACAAGCTTAAACAATTTATAACATCCCTGTTTTGCGTTACAAACGAAAATCATGAAAACATAGTTACATGTTCTTACATAGTGTGTAACGACAATAGTTTGTACTGTGTACAATGCACATGTTTGAGCAATTTTTAACATCCCTATTTGTCTTTATTTACAAATGTTACATGAAAGTCTTGCTCAAGCATAAACAATCTATAGCATTCCTAATATTATTTTATTCAACGAGTGCAATAAATTCAGTAATGAACTTACACGAATTTAATATTCTATTTATCACATACCCAAAATAAATACCGTTTAAAGTGAAATAAGAGTCATTTTTCATTGACGCGCCTATAGTATAACGCTAACATTTAGCGCGTCTTTACACTATGTTTGTATAACGCTAATGACGTCACGTCAAAATATATGCACGGCCGTGCAATACCATTTTTACGGAGTCGCAAAATCGGCACGGGTGTGTGATAAATAGAGGATATTGAATGAGTGTAAGTTCAATACTGAATTTATTGCACGAGTTGAATAAAATTATATTATGCGAGCCTTTGGCGAGCATAATATTAATTTATTCAACGAGTGCAATAAATTCAGTAATGAACTTACACGAATTTAATATTCTATTTATCACATACCAAAAATAAAGACCGTTTAAGGTGAAATAAGAGTCATATTTCATTGACGCGCCTATAGTATAACGCTAACATTTAGCGCGTCGTTACACTATGTTTGTATAACGCTAATGACGTCCCGTCAAAATATATGCACGACCGTGCAATACCATATTTACGGAGTCGCAAAATCGGCACGGGTGTGTGATAAATAGAGGATACGAGCCTCTGGCGAGCATAATATTATTTTATTCAACGAGTGCAATAAATTCAGTAATGAACTTACACGAATTTAATATTCTATTTATCACATACCAAAAATAAAAGGGCGTTTAAAGGGCAAAAAAAGAGTAATTTACATTTTACGCGGGCCCATAGTATTTAAAATTTAAAATTTTGCGCCCCTTTTTTCAAATTTTTTTGGGATTAAACGCTAAAAGAGTCCGTCAAAAAATATGCACGGGCCGGGGGCAATACCATATTTTCGAATTTGCAAAATCGGGGGACGGGTTTTTGTGATAAAAATTTCCGGGTCTTTCAAATGAACTAAACAAATATTTCCCCTATATAAATTTTTTTAAAAATTTTGTTCGTTCAAAATCTTGTCGAATATGGGAAACATTTTTCCTAATATATGTATGCAAACGTTTTTATAATAAATAAAAAAAGGCAAATTTTACATTGTCGAGGTTAAATATAGCGAAAGAATCAGTAGAACATTGTGTTACATTTTGTAAATCTTTTTGTCACACTGCCCAGTGTTGGTAACAGATAAAATTATTCTAGACCTTCCAATGAGAAACCAATCAGAAAACTTATACAAAAGATTAAAAATATTGCCTTTCAAGAAAAGATGTATTTTTCACACCGGTGTCCAAGTATATAAAGCACTGAATAATATGTCCACTCAATATATCCGAGACTTACTTACCATATCTAATAATCAAAAGTATAATCTAAGATCGATATCTCACGGAAATTTAATTTCGTCTTACAAACCACGTACCAATTATTTTAATGACACATTTCAATTTAATGCCATGGTTATTTGGAATTCCATACCACTGACTATAAGAAGAAAAACAAAATTGTCAATATTTAAGAATAGTTTCAAGAAATACTTATTTAATCAACTTTAGCACGGTCCGTATGTATTATATATGCAAGATACGCTCTTTATATTCATACATGTGTTTTTATTATTATGTTTTCTAATAATGGGTGTCTGTCTTAGTTTCAAGTTTTTTGACTGTGTTAATTTTGTTAATTTTGTAATTTAATTTTACTTTTTAAATTGCAGATTAAAATGATGCACTTATGAAATTATGTTTAATGATAAAGAAAATGAATTGTATGAATGTTCAGTATATGTGTTAATATATGTTAAAATTGTGATAACCATTTAATCATTTCTTTTACATGTTATATTTTCTTTGTTTGATATGTGTTCTTTTGTGTGTGTGTTTTTATTTTTTATTTTAGAAGGCCGCATTGTAAATAAGATGTTGCAACCTGTATATGTCTTAATGTGTTACCTTCGGTAAATAAAGTTATTATTATTATTATTATTATTATTATTATTATTATTATTATTATTATTATTATTATTATTAAACAAACGATTATGGAAAACTTCAAAATCAGCCATGATCGTGCATGAAGACATCGTCGTCTTATGCCTTGGTAAGATCATCTGTGTTAGTAACTTCGTGTGTAATTGCAACATCTTTGTTGAAAGGACCTTGATTGCGATGGTTCATTTTCGTGATGGATTAGTTTGTTCATCCTGCAAATTGTTAAGTCAGTCGTGAGCACATTTTGTTTGATCATGTCTTCGTCCTTTCTTAGTGTGACCAGCGGTGTTATTTAAAGGTATTGTTTGTACGATGAAAACAATACGAAGAAAACAATAAGCACCCGGACTGGCTAGGGATAAAACACGACTAGGTGAAGCACTCATAATGCAATCATTAAAGTACGATGGCACTTGGATGGCATCACGACGTCACTTCCTCATACCGACGTCGTTCACCCTGACAACAATTGACGTCGTCAATTTCTTTGCAATGACAGTACAAACAAACAAGTTGTCATGATTTTTATTTGCAGAAGAGGCATAAAAGATTGAAATACATTCGTGTGATAGTTTGAAGTAAGCATCTTGGAGGTTGGTAGAATTCTATTTCATTTCGGCGAGTGGCAATATATGTTTGCTTTCGTAGTTAGTTTTAACGAAAAGATGGACAACAACATAATTCAGAAAAATATGTAAATAATATTTGAAGAGTTAATAATTGTTTCCTTATAGATCATAGATAAATAGGAAGATGTTGTGTCTAGCTAAGAAGAATTATGAAAAAGTGAAACACTATAAGATTTAGATCCATATACGAGAGGGTTTGACATTATTGGGATACTAATAAATGTTGTTAATCTTTTAACAAGCCTTTAACCAATTAATCAAAAATCAATATACAATAAATAAGAGTGTACTGCAATAAAAGTGGAATATGTCAAATTTATTTTTGTAAACTTAGACAAGAAAAAGTGACGCAATAACTAGCAGTTTCCTTTGCTTATTTGAATAGAGGCGAGAAAAACTTCACTTTAACTAGAGAAATTATAAATACTCTGTAATAAATGACATTGGGCTGTTCACAACCCAAGGTGTTCATAGGTGTTTGACTGAGCATTTAATTTCCGTTTGGACACTTGGTCTGTTAAAATGGAGTATAACTCGGAACCCTGCTCGGACAGCGATACTGAGTACGGTATGATACAGTTTTATTAATGTTCGAAAGATGTGAGAAAATGTTAATATTACCGCTTTTTTTCTGGGCTTTTTTTCTTTTTTTACACAACGACAGTTCTATAATATAAGATAAATAATCATAGTAAACAATCATGGTATTTTTATTAATACGTTTTTTAAAGGCCCATCAAGCCTCAGAAATGAATTACAGAATCTGTAAATAAATGACCGTACTCAATCATAGTAGTAAAATGCATATACGCGTACATTGTACTAATATTTTGTCAGCTCGTTTGCGTTAAAAAAAATCCTATTCCCAGAGAAGCGGTGGCCTAGTTTTTTAGCTGCAACCTTTCAACCCAGGGATTATGGATTCGAGCCCTACTCGGATCACGACCATATTTTTTTTATATGGCACCAGAACAGTGGTTGGTTCCTGACAGCGGACTCGAAAGTAATTAATATAAGTCGCAAGAACTTGTTTCGCAATCAAGCTTAAAACTGAATCAAATATTTCTATTTTTATGCTGTTAAAATTTTGATTTTTCTTTTATTGTTGATAAATGTTCAAGTTATAATAGTAACATTTAGAAATGAATAGTTTATAGAAAAAAATAGTGTAACAGAAAAAAAGTATTTAAAAAGATTAAAATTTGGTAAATTTGCACATTTTCATTGGTAAAATGTCACATCGGAAAACACAAGAACAATTACAAATAAGAAGATCTAAGCTGACCTATCTCACGTAATCGCTTTAATAGATTAAAGAAGTTTTAGCACTATCACTAACTATAAGCTGATTTGACAAGAACTAACATGGTTAAAGTTAATACTTTTGGTAAGAAATAGATTTTGTTTCAATGGCTGAAATTGAATTTGTGTGGTGAAAGAAGTAAGGAAATTAGGAATATATTATAACATGATTTACATTGAAATATTGTATTTTAGACAGCCAGAAAGTGAGCTCTAAAACACATGTAAAAGCGACGGCGTCGCAATTTTCTGCAGTGATTTTTTTTATGTTATAATCGGTTAATAACTGATATTTAAAATTGTTAATGTTGTAATAACTGTTGGATATTAAAACAGAAACAAAGGACTTTTGCGTTGTGTTATATCACTTTTAAAATTTTATAGCTAGCAAAACTCGAGATATTATGAATATTAACATCGAAGCAGAATGCGTCCAGATTTATGATAATTTCATGTAAATTGTATTTTAAAGTAAAATAGTGTGAAATTAACAAAGATATTAATTTGCACATTGCAAACGGCACTTACAATCCACGTAAATTACAAAAAAGGGCAAAATATGCAAAAATCAGCCTTACTGCGTTAGTTACGCAGTAGAAATATGGTGATAAGTACTGCAAAATCAGTCAATAATCGCACATTACATGTAAATCACTTCTTAAATCTTAAAACAGTTTTCTTAGGTTTGATTTTCTTAAAGAATTTTTGCTCTTCTTGAGACATGTATGTTTCATTTAATAAAGTTAGATACACAATTACGGCAGAGAAAAATCAAAAGTTCTTCACAGATACATTTTGAGATATAACTTATAGATAAATTCCTCCATTTTGACAAGAAATTACAGAATCACATACTTTCTTATGCCAGTCAAACGGAATCCAGGGCTAAGTCTCGTAAATGGACCTCATATTAATCGACTTTTTGCTTTTTTCCCAGTCTTTAAAAGTGCTCAAAATGCTTCATATTATTAAAGAAAGTAAGTTGAAAACCTTAATCATCGTTTTCCTTCTGATATGAATCAAACTATTATTGATATTCGTACAAATAATAATTTGTTTTACTGTTTAATAGCATTTATTATTTATAACAGCCCTCGTAAACTCTTTTTTAAATTTTATTTTGTATGATTTTAATTTTAATTTAATTCAATGTATTTTTTTTCAGAGATGTCTGAGGATACGCAAATAAAATCTCTTGTAGAAGAACTTAAGGTTCTCCAGAATTTGAAAGTCAACACGGTAACTAACAATAACAGATATTTAGTTAAACCTTACCCTGCTCGAACCGAAAGTGACCAGTCGTGGTCACCAGTATAGAGCCAGGCCAGCCTGTACGTCCGTGCAGTCTGACCAGGCTCTATACCGTTGACTAACTTCAATATTTCATCTTGATATACCCGAACTGGATAATGGGTAGTTCTAAAAATGGAAGCTGGCGCTGTTCATTTAATTTTTTAAGAAATTTAGCATGTTAAGGGTTAAAGATGTTGCAAATTCTAAAGTTATATAGTTATTGAACAAAGAAATGATATACTTGATGCTTGATGTCAAACTAATCTACCTCATTTTGTATAAAAACAACATTACCTTTCCTTTTGTTAAACGCATTGTCATGCATAATTTCTCGAAATGAGGATATATATTCATGAATATTTAGTGTATTTACAAATAGTTGCAAACTATTGAAATGTGTTTATACCTTTTTCGTTCTCATTATTTGTCGTACTCAAACTCAAAGATCGCGAGCTATTGCAAATAACTGAAGAGTAGCAGTGGTGCGATATAAATATAATACACTTTTATTACAATATTTATGCCTCATTTAATTAATGCAAATATAAAATCTTATACAGTCAAAAGGTTCTGGAAAGAGAAAGCTGAAAAGGCGACGAGAAAGCCTCAAAAATAAGAAGAAGCAGCAAGCTAAAGAAGATGAAGGAGAATGTTCCGCAGTCAATGAGGACTTTGCTTACAGTTGGCATAAATGCGCTTGCGGCATGCAACACCCACCCATCCCACACTTCACTCCGCCAGATGGTGTTCGCTGTACTTATTATTGGGTGGGTTAATATTTTCTGTAGACTAAAAGGCACCCTTTATTTCCAAGATTTGATTGTTTACATTACTTGACATTTTTTTGTTGAAACGGTTTGAATGAATTATGAGGTGTAAATTTATTTCAAGCTAATGAATATATTTTTGATTGTTTTTTTTATAGCAAATTGCAGACAAGTTTCGATTCATTAGCTTGCACAGAACGCTGACTACCGAAATCAAATTCATCCAAGCAGATGAGGATCAAAGCGGGGTAAAATAATCTTAGTCTTAAGTTTAATTTCTTTATCTATGCAATAGTTGTATGAAAGAATAGAACGCATTTTAACTTCTTAAAGTGATAAAGTGTGTGTGTGTGTGTGTGTGTGTGTGTGTGTGTGTGTGTGCGTGTGCGTGTGCGTATTTGAGTTTATTTATACTCGCCAGCGGTTGCCCATATGGGCGAGTACTCTAGAAGAGTATTAGTTATTTTAGATTTTTGGAGGATAGTGTAAGATACAGATACAGAAAGATGCCCAAATTCCAGAAGCGTCTCCTGGTTCTTTAGCGTGCCAAGTGTTAAAGCATTCATACACGGGACCTCGATTTAAAGTCTCATCCGAAAGACTAATTAGTAATTTTAGTTGGTAAAGTGATAAAGCTTCAGTACACGTTCATTTATACCCAATTTGAGTGTATATGTTTCTGTACAAGATAGCTCTAAACCATTCTCTTGTGAAAAACAACACACCTTTGTTCAATAATCATAAAATCTTAACAGTTTTTTTCCCGGGCCAAGGTCAAGTTTCAAAAACAAGGGAACCTGCAAATGAAAAGATGATCTTTCTGATTTAATACCACTAGTCGAGTATTACACTGTATTCTGATGACTATTTTACTTATCGTTTGATCGAGTATCAAGCTGACGGATTACTTTATATGCAAAACGACCGTCAACACCCAATTGGATGGCTGGTGGGCTCATTTAAAATTGAGTACAAGTTTAATACCTCACTGACTGGATATTTTTTTCTTAAATATTACCGCATGTTTGATCAATAACTTCTACAGTTTTGTTTAATATGTCAATGGCCAATAAAAAAAATTGGTTCAAAATACTTTTTACACCAAAAGAACGCATTGTTATATTATCATATGTTCCTAACCTGCTCATGAATATCTGACCATGCTTGCTACAAATGTCTCCTTGACACATTCCAAACGGAATACAAAATGTATCTTGCTGGTTTCACATAATATAAAGCATATGCTGATTTACCATAATATAAAGCATAATTATGGTGATTTACCATATTATAAAGCATATGCCACTTTCGCTTGTCAGCTACAAATTTTCTTGGCACGCTTTCAGTGTAATAACTTTTTAACTGTCATTCTATTATCGGTTGAACACTTGTTTACAATTACAAAAAATGTAATATAACACTTCAAATTATTAGATTCTAGTTCTTGTTTAAGTTCTAGTCTAACTTCAAAAGACCTGCTATTGGATTCAATCTGTAACGGGCATATGGTTGAATGTTATTGATACCTCGTCGCAATACCTGTAATATGTTTTATGAAAACATTCAAAATGTTGTTTTATCTTATTTTAAAGTTGATTGAGCTACCAGAGTTGAAAACATTACTACGCGACATATTTGGAAAAGATATACTTAGTGATAGGATGCTGGAGAAAACATTTAAAGAGATAGATATGGACCAAAGTGGAACAATTGACTTCTTTGAAGTACTTACGGTAGGCGCTTCATATAACGATTAAATTTTAATTATAATTTAGTAAAATATGGTACATGTATACATGTATTCAATGATTTCCTTATGAAAACTTAAGCCTACAACTTCCTCCTTGAAATCGTACAATAAAATAGTTCTTTGAACAACAACTTCACTCCCACCAAAAAGAAATTACGATACCATTAGAGAGATTATCGTATAAGCTTGTATAAAAACAACGCCATATGTATACATTAACTTTGATGGCAGATTTGGTACACTTTGCGCGTTACGTTGTCGATAGCGACAACACAACCTATATCGTTTTCGCCTTTTCGTCTTGTCGCCAGCGAAAGCGCCAAATGGCGCGTTGTCGCACTATCTTATTGTCGTCCTGTCGCTAGCGAAGCACGCCAAATCGCGCGTTGTTGCGGTGTCGCCCTGTCGCTTGGCTTATAAGCCAATCCTTCGATTTGAGCCGAGCGACAATGTGACATTGCGACAACACGCCGCACGACAACACGCCGTTTGGTGTGCATCGCTAGCGACAGCACGACGCACAAAGCGTTCCAAATCAGCCAACATAATTAACGGAGAAGAGAACGTGCAATAACGGATAATACCACGTGATCACGTGCTGTTGTTGCACGTTTTGAAATATGCACGACTTAGAGTGCCAATGACGGCCCCCTTAGTTTTATTATTAAAACATAACTGTAAAATGACATGGCACTAGCACGTGAAACACATAAAAAATGATACCCAAAATAGATAACGAAACGCGGAATAACTGAAAAAGACGTATACTTTTATGCAAAAATAATACAAATGCAAGTGTTCCCTTAAATTAACATTAACCCTCTAATGTTGCCTGTTTCAATATCAGACTCTGAAGGATATTAAGGTTATTTATTATAGATCGTATAAACTTTCAAGACAGAACATTCAAACTTGATTTCTTTTTTAATTCTTAGATACCCATAAAATGAAAAACAATATCAAACGTTTTTATGCACAGACTCTTGGATGAGAGTGTTAGATCTGCCCTTGTTCGTACATGCCTGCGTGCGTGTGTGTGCGTGTGTGCGTGCGTGCGTCAGTCCGTACATTCCATGTCACATGTAGCTCTTAAAGTGCTTGAGCTAGAGCCAACAAACAGGAATAATGATCAGCGTGTAGATTAATTCAGTTTTCTTAGAGTTTTGCCCTTGATTTAGTAAAAATTTGCAATTTCCAACTTATGTTGCGCTTAGCTCAAATATTATATGACCCGGAGTAGGAATTTTGGTCAGCTAGATAGGTTTGCTTGTGGATTTATTTAGTATTTGTAAAGTTATTTTACTTGAATTAGTGAATAAATTTGTAATTTTCAACGTGTGCTTTGCGTAACTCAAAAAGTATGACACTACCGTCATGAAACTTTACAAGAATGTTGGTCAGCATGTGTAGTTGTGCATCTAGGATTTTCTTTAAAAAAAAATGCTTAAGGATATAAAATTGAGATTCGAAATTCTTGCAGCTTATGTTGATGAAAAGTTAAGTTAAGGAAAATCAAGATATCAACATTGGAAAAAAATGGATGTCGTTTTATGCTCAAGCCTCTCAGTGGTAGGGGAAGTCATGTAGAAGTCTCATTGTCTATCCGTCTGTCGCACAGTCCTGTTGTACGTCAGTAGACTGACAAAACATTGGAATGTGGAGGCATCCGTGTCCTAAGAGCACAATTCTAATTTAAAACTAAATATAAAGGAGAATTAATTTTTAACTGAAATAGCTGATTTAACTGACTTAACGTCATATCTGACGTGTCAACTTCGCCCTCTTAACGCGGTTAAAAACCGAGTATTAAAAAATTATACCAACTGTATTAAATTTGATTATTAGAAATTTTAGAATTTCTTCTGTCAGATACAAGTCATATTTTTTTTTAGATACAAGTCATATTTTTTTAATCATTTCATAATTGCACCGCTATCTGCATGCTTACTGATCGAAAAACTATAATTTCTTCTTTTTCAGATTTTGTACGACTTGGTACAGCGGGCTCCATCAAACCTTCCAGTGGCTGTACAGAAGGACTATTCTAAAGTTTGCTCAATTCAATAGAAAAACATTATTTTGTTTATCAACTGTTGCGATCAGTTTTCTTGTTAATTATGTCTGAATAAACATTTATATTAACATTTTAGCAGTGAAATTTGACCATCTTGTATTTCTTAGTACCGTAATCCTTTTTATTTCTAGACACTTTTTTTTCATAGTTTATACGCCCAAAAGAAACTTTGTTATATTATGGTATGCCGTTTGCCTGCCCGTATGTCCGTATGACCATCCATTAGTCGAATTTATGTCGATTACTGGTATGCTCGCTTTCATACCTACTAGGCAAATACATGACTCATATAGATTCTGGTGTTAGTCTAAGGTTAAAATCACAGTGACCCTCAACTGATATGAAAACAATTAGATTCTGGTTTTAATCCGTCAAAGGTCAAAATTACAGTGAACTTCTATTCGAAAACATGGTCTCCTCATTTGCTTTCGGAAAATTTTGTCTCCTTCATTGCAGACTGTTCATAGCTAACAGATGGCCCCTTTTCATTTTTCCAGTCTACAGTCAAAGTGACAGTGACCATTAACTCGAAAACGTTGTATTCTCAAGAGCATGATAACTACTATCATGTACTATGTGTGCTTCATTTTTAGTATGGACTATGAACCCTATAAATATTAGGTCAGTCATCAGTCAGTTTTAGGTCAAAACCACAGTGTCATCAAACATGAAACATTTCCGCTCATTTTCTCAAGTATCATTTTGGTCTAATCTACAGTATAAAGTATGTAGTTATAAAACACCATAAACTCTAGTTAAAGCATTTTCACACACATATTAATAAATTTAATGCATTTTTTATCAATATAACAATACATATCTTACCTAAAGTATGAAAATAATAGTACAGAATAGAACAGAACAGACCTTTTAGTACCTCAAACTTTTTAACAAGTACATAATTATATAATGCAACAAACAACTCTATATGAAAATTCGAATAAAACTTAAATACAGCATTAATGTCCACGAGAAAATGTTCATAGCACTCTTTCATTCATTGCATTAATTTGAAAGTATTTCTAATTGGATAAAACCCTTTAAAGGTATCCTAATCAGCATTTACCAACATGTAATTTGTCAGATTATCATTTAAAACTTTCGCTGATTGAGCAATGAGAACTGTCAGGTAAATTTTGTTGAACAAATTGTCATTTGTACGAAAGCCTAATAGTGTCAAATAAAATAAAAAAATAAAAATGCAAAGGCGTTATAACGCGAATTAAGGCGTTATTACGCGAATCAAAAGGCGTAATAACGCGAATAAAGGCGTTATAACGCGTATCAAAAGGCGAAGTAACGCCTTTATTCGCGTTGTAACGCGAATCAAAAGGCGTAATAATGGGAATAAAGGCGTTATAACGCGAATCAAAAGGCGTAGTTACACCTTTATTCGCGTTATAACGCGAATCAAAAGGCGTAATAACGCGAATAAAGGCGTTATAATGCGAATCAAAAGGCGTAATAACGCTAATAAAGGCGTAATAACGCAAATCAAAAGGCGTAGTAACGCGAATAAAGGCGTAGTAACGCGAACCAAAAGACGTAATAACGCAAATTAAAACGCATTATAATGCCAATTTAATACCATATTTATACTAATAAAATTTGCCTAGTAACGCGAAAAAGGAAGACCAATATTGATCTGAATTTATTGCTCAAGATATTTAAAAATAATACAATATATATTTACCATTCGACAGTAATAATGCAAACTATTTGTCATAAACAAATGAAGACTCTTTATTATTTGCCAATATAAGATGCCTTGGTGACTTACAGGTCCATTGGACTGGACATGTATCACATCATTGATTTTAAACACGTTACTATAGTAAATGAATTTCTTTTCTTATCTTTTCTTTTCTTTTCTTATATCCTATCTTTTATCTTATATGTGCGTCATATGTTCAATTATCTACAGATATGTCCTGTATAATTACTTAATAACCTGTAGTATCTTCTAATTATGTGAATGTCGTTCCCAATTACGCCATAGGTAATAGGCTATAGGTAACAAGATTTTGAAAAAAAACGTAAGGTATAAGTAAATCACATTAGGGTGAAAGTATATCTTAATTATTGATAGGTATGCTTAGAAGGGTGAAAGTGTTTTGTTAAGTTACAATTATAGGAGACACTGTCTTCTTTGTACTTGTAGAAAAGTATCTTAAGTTTGGTGATAGTAACCTCTAATCCGACGAAAGCATTTCCTAATAAAAGATTTAAAAAAATCAAACTGTGGTCTTAGGACGTATCCGTACAGAATTGAAAATAAAACGTACACATTGTTCCTCCTTTCTTACATGACTAGGCCATTGTTTGGAATTTATATGGTATAAAATTAGCGTTATAACGCCTTTTGTTTTGCGTTATTACGTCTTTTGGTTCGCGTTATTTCGCCTTTTGATTCGCGTTATAACGCCTTTATTCGCGTTATTACGCCTTTTGATTCGCGTAATTACACCTTTTGTTTTGCGTTATAACGCAAATAAAGACGTTAAAACACAAATTGAAAGGCGTTATAACGCGAATTCAAAGGCGTAATAACGCGAATAAAGGCGTTATAACGCGAATCAAAAGGCCTAGTAACGCCTTTAATCGCGTTATAACGCGAATCAATGGCGTTAAAACGCGAATAAAGGCGTTATAACGCGAATTAAAATGCGTAATAACGCGAATAAAGGCGTTATAACGCGAATTGAAAGGCGTAATAACGCGAAACAATAGGCGTAATAACGAGAATCAAAGGCGTTATAACGCGAATAAAGGCGTTATAACGCGAATCAAAAGGCGAAGTAACGCGAATCAAAAGGCGAAGTAACGCCTTTAATCGCGTTATAACGCGAAGCAAAGGTTTTAAAACGCGAATAAAAGCGTTATAACGCGAATTGAAAGGCGTAATAACGCGAATAAAAGCGTTATAACGCGAATTGAAAGGCGTAATAACGCGAAACAATAGGCGTAATTACGCGAATCAAAGGCGTTATAACTCAAATAAAGGCGTTATAACGCGAATTGAAAGGCGTAATAACGCGAATAAAGGGGTTATAACGCGAATTGAAAGGCGTAATAACGCCTTTTTTCGCGTAATAACGCAAAACAATAGGCGTAATTACGCGAATCAAAAGGCCTACTAACGCGAATAAAGGCGTTATAACGCGAATCAAAAGGCGTAATAACGAGAACCAAAAGGCGTAATAACGCAAAACAAAAGGCGTTATAACGCTAATTTAATACCATATAAATTCCAAACAGTGGCCTAGTAATGTATGGAAGGAAGAACAATGTTGATTTAAATGAATTGATCTAGATGTACGTTTTATTATATGCCCGAAAGAATTTCGGGCATATTATATTATATACCCTGGCGTCCGTCCGTCCGAGCAAACATTTTGGGTTTAGGGGCTATATAACAGTAAAGAGAACAAAAGAGAAGAATAGGTTCATTTCGTGATCAAAGGGTTTATGGACTAGTAGCCTTTAAGAAAACAAAGAAAATAACAAAGAAAATAGCCCCTAAACCCAAAATATTTGAACGTCCGTCCGTCCGTCTGTCCGTACGTTAGCAATTTGGTTTCCGTAGCATAACTTAAGTTCCATTTCGCCCACAATATTCAAACTTCATAGGAGGATTGTTATTTGAAGGAGGTAATACTTTATGACCTATAAGTCACCAAGTCAACTTATAATGGCAAATATTAAAGAGTCTTCATTTGTTTATGACAAATAGTTTGCATTATTACTGTGCAAATGGAATGATAGTTATTGTAAATGTATATTGTATTATTCTATACGAGTTTAAATATCTTGAGCAATAAATTCAGATCAATATAGGTCTTCCTTTCTCGCGTTACTAGGCAATTTGATTAGTATAAATATGGTATTAATTTGGAATTATAATGCGTTTTAATTTGCGTTATTACGCCTTTTGGTTCGCGTTACTTCGCCTTTATTCGCGTTACTACGCCTTTTGATTCGCGTTATTACGCCTTTATTCGCGTTATTACGCCTTTTGATTCGCGTTATTACGCCTTTATTCGCGTTGTTACGCCTTTTGATTCGCGTTATAACGCCTTTATTTGCGTTATTACGCCTTTTGATTCGCGTTATAACGCCTTTATTCGCGTTGCTACGCCTTTATTCGCGTTATTTCGCCTTTTGATTCGCGTTATAACGCCTTTATTCGCGTTATTACGTCTTTTGATTCGCGTAATAATGCCTTTATTCGCGTTATAACGCCTTTGCATTTTTATTTTTTTATTTTATTTGACACTATTAGGCTTTCGTAGATACGTCCTAAGACCACAGTTTGGTTTTTTTAAATCTTTTATTAGGAAATGCTTTCGTCGGATAAGAGGTTACTATCACCAAACTTAAGATACTTTTCTACAAGGACAAAGAAGACAATGTCTCCTATAATTGTAACTTAACAAAACACTTTCACCCTTCTAAGCATACCTATCAATAATTAAGATATACTTTCACCCTAATGTGATTTACTTATACCTTACGTTTTTTTCAAAATCTTGTTACCTATAGCCTATTACCTATGGCGTAATTGGGAACGACATTCACATAATTAGAATATACTACAGGTTATAAAGTTATTAAACAGGACATATCTGTAGATAATTGAACATATGACGCACATATAAGATAAAAGATAGGATATAAGAAAAGAAAAGAAAAGATAAGAAAAGAAATTCATTTACTATAGTGACGTGTTTAAAATCAATGATGTGATACATGTCCAGTCCAATGGACCTGTAAGTCACCAAGGCATCTTATATTGGCAAATAATAAAGAGTCTTCTTTTGTTTATGACAAATAGTTTGCATTATTACTGTCGAATGGTAAATATATATTGTATTATTTTTAAATATCTTGAGCAATAAATTCAGATCAATATTGGTCTTCCTTTTTCGCGTTACTAGGCAAATTTTATTAGTATAAATATGGTATTAAATTGGCATTATAATGCGTTTTAATTTGCGTTATTACGTCTTTTGGTTCGCGTTACTACGCCTTTATTCGCGTTACTACGCCTTTTGATTTGCGTTATTACGCCTTTATTAGCGTTA